TTTTTTTTGTACTATATCCCATTTTTTCTGTAAAATAAATATGATAAAATTATCAAACAACTCTCTAATCGGTTTTGGAAATCCAGTATGAAACTCTTGAAGAGTCTTAGGTGCTTCAAGTACATTTTTTTGTAAATGCACTTCAGATCTTGATTTCCAAAGTACCATTCCTAAAGCACTTCCTAATTCGTGTGGCTGATCAGTTATAAGACTCGAAATTCTAGTTTTTTCTTCTAGTTTATGTAAATTAACTTTTTTCATGCGAAGTGCAACTTTAATTCCAAAATATGTTGGTGGCTTTATTTGTAAATCCTGGCTTATAGTTTCACCCTTAGATGAGTTGGCCTTTTTTTTTAAAAAGTTAACAACCGCTAACCAAATTTCCTTTAAAAGAATGGTTTGTAGTTGTTGATCTAAATTTATTGCCATTTCTTGAATCAATTGTCCCAAAAAATGAAGAGACTTTTGATTATCATTATTATGCATATCAACACAAGTAAATGGTACAAAACCCTTTCCTCTTCGTTGATAAATATGACCGCCTTCATTATTAAAACAGTTAGAACAAACAAATTTTGAACGTGATTGGCTTGTATCTGATTTTACAAATTCATTATCTTCATTGAATGCAGGACAAACTTTTAATCCTACACATGGGATACAAACGTTTTGTCCAAAAACTTTCCACAAATGCTGAGTACAGCACCCTCCTCGGCTAAAAAAATACTTATCAGAATTACAAAACATATACCTTCGTCTATGAATCCAACTTTTGTCAATTAATACATGTTGTTTTGACCCCTTTATGTGAAGCTTATTTTGATCGAAGCTAAAATGATCAGAACAAATACCCAAAGTGTTTAATGCATCTTCTGTCCCCAATCTAACTGCTGTATCTAATGTTTGGAAGTCTAATTCCCAGACTCCTATTAGTTGTTTAATAGGTCTGTAACCAGGATTTGTGCAGCGTTGTATATGCCCTTTTTTATAATCAATAATGACGCATTGATCATAACTTACACCT